AAAACCATTTAAACTGGGTGTTCGGATTTATATATCACTTAGTATATTTGAGGTATGTGCTGTGCTCTGATGTGATGTAACATATACATCAGCTGTTGCCATTTATAGCTTGTATGACCTAAGTTGTAAGTTCTGTACTATAACTTGTTTTGTAGTTCGTCCGCGAGTAGGCGTGGCTTGCTTGAGCTAGAGACTAACTAGTACCCAAGTGGCAAGTACGGCGTTCAGATCACATGATAGCGATCATTTTCCCAAGTACGGGTGGGGGTCTCCCTTACCCCGTTTTTCTACGCCACTGTTTTCAACCACTACCTGCCCACCATCGTACGTCCAGAGCACGATCCTCGGGATGGCAACCGTGCCCAAGACGACAGTACCACGGCAGGTGTAACGACTCTCAAGGACGTCCTGGCTCCTACCATTTGGTACCACTGGCAGCACCGGGGGCGACAACCCTCTTTGCCTCTTCTTCTTTCCAGCATCCGTTCTCTGCCTACCGTCGTCTTTTTCATTATTTCATTCTTAATCTGAGAAATGCTACCAGCACCTGATGGAATCTTAAAATCTTCACGCCGCATCATGTTTTTCCTCATAGCCCTAGGCGTTCCGTTTGCGGGTCTACTGGTTTCGTCTTTTATTTTAACGATGCTGGGGGAATTTTTGCCTTTCAGTAGAAGAGTTAATCTTCTCTTGCTATATTACTTACAGGGTGCGTCATCTATTACTTTAATATATTTGAAAAATCAACACGCTTTTTACGAGGTGAAATCGAATTTTTTTATTGATAAATGAAGGTTGCATTATGCCATTTATGCATGAAAAATAACATCAGTCATGTGACCACCGCGGCTTCGTTTACAGGCCAACATCCAAACATCAAAATTTTCAATCACTTTTCCCAGAATAATTGGGTCTATGGTCGCAATTTCAGTCCCCATATTGAGCTTTAGGTCTTGAATTGTCCGGGGACCGTTCACATACACTTTTCCTTTCAAAAATCCCCAATGAAAATAGTCGAGAGGTGTTAAGTTGCACGATCTCGGGAGCCAACTGACATCTGAATTTCGTGAAATTATGCGGTCTTGAAATTTCGTGTGCAATAAGGCGATTGTTTGGCGAGGTGTGTGGGCCGTTGCTCCGTCTTGATTAAACCAAAGATCGTCGCCACCAATACGATCGAATTGTGGCCACAAAAGTCTGTTAACATGCCGCGAAAACGTTCCCAGTTGACGGTAATGGCCTTTTCATCGGCATCTTCAAAGAAGAATGGTCCAACGATGTCACCAGCCCATAATCCGCACCAAACAGTCACTTTTCAGGATGGAGAGGTTGTTCATGATATTGGTGTGGATTTTCAGCCTCCCAGAATCTGCAACTTTGCTTATTTACGTACCCATTCAGGTGAAAATGAGCCTCATCAGAAAAGAGCACTATGGCCGAAAATCCGTCTTCTCTTTCCAGCATCCAATTAACAAAAACTGTTGATAGTCTGCCGGCTTCAATTCTTGTGTTAGTTGGATTTTGTATTGATGGAGGTGTAAATCAATGTGTAAAATCCGGCGTAAAGTGGGTGCCTAGTCGAGGTGGTTGGATCTTCTCGCATACTTTCACGCACTGCAGCTATGTTTTCACGAGTTCGAGCTGGACGAGCATGTTGGTATGGTCTACGACGTTCAGCTGAACCAGTTTCCTCAAAACGATTAACATTCCAACGAATTCCAGGCTCTGTAGGGCGTCCATGTTGGCCAAAACTAGTGCGAAGTTTGCGAAAAGTATTTTTTATATTTCGACCGTTTTCGTAATAAGTTTGGATAACCAAAATGCCTTATTGTGTTGTAAACGAATCCCTGACTATAAATCGCATACCTTTGACAGTTCATTTATGCATACCACATGACTTTTGGCATGGTAACAAATCAACTTATAGGTAAAAAAGTAATAGATGGCGCACCCAGTATATTGTTCCACAATCTCGACAGCCTAGGGACCAAGGAGCGGTGGTATCGCCCAGTTCTGGATGTACGAAGTTCGTCACGGTTTGAGGGGAAAGCCCGTTGGTGTAGCGGTAGAAGAGAGCTAGGTCGGCGACCGCTCGCCGGTGCTAAAGGATTCTGGAGAAGAGTCATCGATCAGTCGGACAGCCCTCCTCTTTCTCTCTAAGGGAAGGTGGTGAAGAAACCATGACTATAAATGGCATACCTTTGAAAGTTCATTTATCTATACCGCATGACTTTTGACTCACATGGTAACACATAAACTTACAGGTAAAAAAAAAGTAATAGATGGTGCACCCAGTATTATTGCAATATATTTGATAAAAGAAAACGGCGACAGATGAATTGCCTGACTTTGTTCGTTATAGGTATGCAATGATGGACAAATTAACTTCTACAAAAAATTTCAGTGATTTTTGCTTTTTTCGTTTTTTCACCTAGCTCCTCCGCCACTGGAATAATTCAAAATAGTTTTTAAGTATTTCCCACCTTTGTTCAAGATTAAAACTATCCATTGCTCACAACGGAAGTTTGACACAATATATCCGTCAATATGTTGAGCATGGAAGTGTTACCATCTGTCAAAATAGTACCAACTTAAAAAAAACTGCTGGCCCACCCTTTACAAGTTCTGAACCTGTAATGACTGATGATGATTCGTTAATAAATCCGGATAAATGAAAATTAAAAGTACACCAACATATAAACAGTCATGATATCGGGAGCCTATAAGAATCGGACCCTAAACGTATGCTGAAAAATGTATGAAACATTGAATTTTGTTTTAGATTCGTCTCTTAATTTTTTAACAATGCGCTCAGTAATCACCAGAAGATTACAAAAGTGGAACTTTGGGGCGATATGGAGCTCTCTGCGGGACGATTTTCCTACAATGTTTTTTATTCTTGATGTATAAGTAATTTTTTTTGGGAAGCTCATAGCAGCCGCGGTGCCCTGGCACTTATGCTTCTGCCTGCGCGGCTGCTTCGATGTAAAAAGGGTTGACTTTTTGTGTTTCCCAAACATTCAAACTACATTTGGAACGTCAACACTGTTTCCCTATTGTCTACTGAACAACTTCATGCGTATCTCTGTTCTAAATATTTTGTGTGGCTGCGCTTCCTCATCAGTCAGTAAATGTACGTTTCATTTCCTCCCTAGCTGGAGATAATTTTTCTTTCACTTGAAATATGTAAACGTTTTAAAGGATAACAGAACATGCTATTTTAGGACACAAGCTATTGATATTTTAGCAGTATGTTAATTAAATAGTACAACAGCAACTAAACATTCAATGATAAACCAACTGGTTACGGAAAAGTTTATTTAAATAGCATCTTGCTGTTTTGTTTGTATGGTCTATTTCAGTGTCTGCATTTATCTCACAATACCTGAATAAACGTAATAATTGTTGATGTTTTAATTTAAGTTTTTACAACTTATTATTTAGTTCAGTAACTTCCGCAATAAATTGTACATTTGTGAAATTTTTCTAAGAAAATCAGCAGTCTTACCGTTACGATAGGTTGTTTGGCGAAATATGAAACTGCTAAACATCTGATGTTTCAACTAGGGATGTAACGGGTAGTCATTTCCGGGAACCGGACAAACTGGGTACCCGGCTCTTTAGGATCCGGCTTCACCTGTTTCCTGATTGCACGCTCTCGGATTTCCCACTACTCAAACTCAAAACATTCAAATTGAAAACGCATTTTTTAACACTTTTTTGCGAAACTGTCGGCCAAAGATTAGAATATGTAATCTTTTTTTGTTAAAGCGTTGTCAACTCTGCGAAAATTAGCTTGCCGTAGAACAAATGCAGGGAGCAACGTGGATGTTTTGGTGGAAGACCCGACGTTGTCGCGTGAATCCCCGCGCCGAGAACAGGTGTATTGTTCTGTGAGTGTATTATTGACTATTACTTTTTCACTCTATAGTGTATTTACACCCAAGATAGAATGGATGCGTGATTGCCAAAAGTAAGGACGGCGTACAGGGCCGCATTCAGGGCTACCTCCGAATGATGGACTACCACCAACGTGTTGCAAAACAAAGATGACAGTATTTAACAGAAACAGAAACTTAACAAATTACTCAAATACACTTAACAACAACAACAGCAACAACCAAGCAAGGTGAATACGAAAACACGAGCGCGCAGTGATACACGCGACGGACGGTGGCCTGAGTGCAACTCTGCCTACCCTGCCCCTGCCCCGCGCATTATTCCGCTAGGCGACCGCTTGAAATTTAATGGCGAATTGACCAATAAGAGGCGTTGTCCCCACCTGTTACTGAGAGATCACGCGCTAACTGTTATTATTTACATCTCATCTTGAATTTGGATTCAGTTTAGTTACTTACTATCGAGCATATTATTATATTGTTTAAGGTAAAAGTTTAAAGTGTTACTAGAGAGTTATCGAGCGAGATTAGCCAATTTAAAAATGAGCAAAGTGTGGGAACATTTTATAATTGATAATGAAGATGAATCAAAAGCAGTGTGTGGATTATGTGGCACAAAAATTCTTCGTGGTCTTGGGAAAAAGTCATCTTTGTGGAAACGCTTAAAATATAAGCATCCACGTACATTAAAGGATCAAAGTAAAATCGAAAATAAGCAATGTTCAGGTTCAGAATCTTCAGGAGAATTGAGACAAATTAAAATGACTGAGAGCTTCGAAAGACAATTTGACATAAACGAATCAAGGGCAAAAAAATACACAGGCTATAGGAGAAATGATCATTCTTGATAACCAACCTTTTTCTGTTGTGGAGAATAAAGGTAAAATGAAAGTAGCTACATATTATTATTAAAATTATTAATTGTTTTTATATGATATTTGCACTTAAATTTTAAGTAACGAAAAAAAGGTTTCTCGTTCACAATTTTTTTTGCAATATGGTTAGTTTTCCGTGTTATTTTATTTTAAACGTATATAGCTAGAGAACAAGTTGCTGTACTTTTTAAGTTGCCATATAAACTTATCGCGAATAAATTTTTAGGATTCAAGAGATTGTTTTCTGTCCTGGGACGAAAGTATAGTATACCCAGTCGGCCATATTTCAGCAAAACTGTCATTCCTGAGATATACGAAAAGTGTCAAAGTAGAGTAGCTGAAATGATAGCAGATGCAAGATTTATTTCTTTCACAACAGACATGTGGACTTCTGATGTGAACAATAAGAGCTTTATAACTTTAACTGGCCATTGGATTTCCAGAAATTTTGAACAAAAACATTATGTGCTAAGTATTCGTGGTCTGGATGGCAGTCATACTGGTGAAAATATAAAAAATGCTTCACTAGAATTGTTAAGAACTAATAACATAGAAGTGGGCAGAGTTCACTTGGTTCTTCGATATAGCGGTGCTAATAATCAGAAGGCTACAAAAGATATGGGAGTCAATAATGAATCTTGTTTTATACTTACTCAGCAGCTTGTAGTAGTTAACTCTCTTAAAGAGCAAACATCCCTTATGGAAATTGTATCTATTGCAAGAAAAATAGTGACTCATATAAACCATTCCTCTCCATCTCGAACAAAATTAGAAGAAATTCAGAAAGACGTCAACCTACCTATCAAAAAAATGGTTCAAGATGTTCAAACACGATGGAATTCCACGTATTATCTATTAGAAAGACTTATCGAGCAGCGAAGGGCCATTAACTTGCTCGCCACGGAAGCTGATGCGGTTCCCTCTTTGACACCAAGTCAGTGGGATTCGTTGGAAAAGCTTTTACGACTTTTACAACCATTTGAGCAAACTACCAAACATTTTAGCAGATAATTATGTATAATATCAGAAGTGATTCCTACAGTTTTGTCATTAAGAAGGTTTTTAATGGAAATTGAGATTTCTGGACTAGAAAATTTACAGCAAAGTTTGCTAGAAAATTTGACTAAACGTTTTTGTGAAATTGAGAATAACAATAATTTTTTAATAGCTACTTTTTTGGATCCCAAGGATGCATTTTTCACTGATAAACATAAAACAGCAGTTGATATTTTAAAATATATACAGAGTCTAACTATGGATATGACACCTATTGACAACAATAAAGCTTGCGTTACATCAGTAGATTTAAGTTCTGATGAATCGGACGATGATGTTCCGCTTAGCACTTTATTTAAGATACCCGAAAAACGCAAGAAACCTAATGAGTCTGTTTGGGATATATTTTCGAATATTGCACATAGCCGCGACAGTATTGCAGGAACTTCCAAAAATTTAGAAACTGTGGAAACTCAATTGAATTCTTATTTGAAATTGCCACTTATTGATCGTACTTCATGCCCTCTTTCATGGTGGCAAATTAATCATAAGAGTTTTCCCAAATTAGCAGATCTTGTTCAGATGCTTATATCAGCTCCGGCTTCAACAATATTCAGTGAGAGGCTGTTTTCAGAAGCTGGAATGATTTTCGAAGAAAAACGAAGTAGGCTAACTGCAGAAAATGGCGAAATGCTAACCTACCTCCATCATAATCTTCCTTTACTTAATTTTAAATATATACGTACTAAGTGACATATAAATCCGAACACCCAGTTTAAATGGTTTTATTTTAATAAAAGTTGGTGAATGTATTTATCTTACTGTAAATAACAAGTGAAAAAACGTTCAGCCTTATCAGTTGGACATTCCGGTTTTTATACTACTTTTTTTTTAATTCACTAACTCTCTAAAAATGAATATTTCAGCCGCAGTAAAGAATCAAAGTTGGCGGATTTTAGTTCTTGACATCCTTTACGATCGGTTACGATTCCTAGAGTACGGAGACCTGTACGATTTCGTCAACTTAGTGAGTTTGATAGGGGCCGTATAGTGGGACTTCGGGAAGCTGGACTTTCTTTTCGGGCAATTGCAGTTAGAGTGCAAAGAAGTGTAGACACTGTGATTAGGTGTTGTCAGGCATGGCTTCGAGAAGGCCGTACGCAAAGAGCAAGGGGCACTGGACGCCGCCGTAGAACAACAGACCGTGAAGATCGCCGCCTAAGATTATTGGCCTTAAGGGACCGTTTCTCCACTACCAGGTCCATTGCAAATGAATGGTTTGCAGAACACGGAAGACCTATTGGCATGCGAAGTGTTTACCGACGAATGAGAAGTTTTGGCTTGTTTTCATACCGGCCACACTCGGTCCTCCCTTTAACTCGAGAACACCGACGTAATCGCCTTGAGTGGTGCAGACAACGGTCACTCTGGGATCAGGAATGGAACAGTATTGTCTTTAGGAGATTGCTCAATTTTCAACGTCCTCCTCAGACTCTAGAAGCACTTCGAGAGGAGTTGGTGGTTGCTTGGAATGAGATACCACAGGAGGACATTGACCACCTGATCAGAAGCATGCCTAGGCGCGTTGGAGAATGCGTAGCACATCAGGGTGCATCCACACATTATTAAAGGTCAAAGGGCTTTAAAGCAGTGCAATCATTTTGAAATTTTTATCATTTACTTATTATGCTTCATTAAGTACTTATACAAAATTTTATTAAAATAAAACCATTTAAACTGGGTGTTCAGATTTATGTCACTTAGTATATTAGATTATCTACGTGTAAATTCGTTTTCTGTTTTCTTTTTGTACAATTTAACTTTTTTAAATAATGTATTTTTTATTTAATACCTATATTAATTAATATATGTATTAAGTTATTTTTTACAGGCTCTTTGGCCTCTATTTTTTTCAATAATTTTTTTTCATTTATTCAGTCTACCCGGCCGGGTGGAATGATTACCCGGCAAAACCGGATACCTCGTCAAATTAGCCGGGTACCCGTTACATCCCTAGTTTCAATCTAAAAAACAGGCCTCAAATATGTTAGCTGTGCACTTTCCACGCAACGTTGTCGTCAGTAATCGCGACTGACATGCCTGCCGGTAAACCCAGAAAGCAGAAGCAACAACGCGCCTGGAAAACATTCATCTATCATTCAAGTTTTAGGTGCAAATATACAAGGAAATCTATGATGTGTGAAATACAGTGGACCTCCGGTAATCCGAAAAACATTATGCAGGGCAGTGTCGGACTATCGAATTTGTTGGATTATAGAGCACTGCCTAAGACCTCCTATAGTCCGGAATTTTTTACAAAACTGTACCTTGTAATCCGACAAATTACATATCCAATGGTAAGATTATACAGGGTGACTTTGAAGTTGAGTCATTAATTTTCAGATAATGATTGTAGAAGGAAGATAAACCAAAATATGTGTGTAAAAATAAAAAAAAATTAAAAAAAAAATGTTACCTTGTTTTATAAAGTATCCTCCCGACAAGTATTTCAGTGCGGACCTGTGCGCCCAAAAGCATGTCACAAAAACTGTTCGAAATGATTTCCGTTTTGCTCGACGCACAGCTGGGCGCGTCTTAGCCATGTCTCTTTACAAGCAGGCAATAAAATCACTGGTTGATTTCTGATCACTGTACTCATTTCCTCAATTCGAGCACGTAATTCTTCGCGTGTATTAACCGGTGTTTTATACACTAGAGTTTTTAGCCAACCCCACAAACAAAAGTCTAAAGGATTTAAGTCCGGAGACCTTGGCGGCCAAGGTACAAAACCGCCACGGCCGATCCAACGATTATTAAATTGTCTATTTAAAAATTCACGCACATTTCTTGCATAATGGGGTGGTGCCCCATCTTGTAAAAACCACATGTTTTGTCTAATATTTAAAGGCACATCTTCCAGTAAACCAGGCAAATTGTGTTGCAAGAAATCAAAATAATTTTCACCAGTTAAGCGATTTGGTAATTCAAAAGGCCCCATTAAAATTCCATTAACAATTCCCGCCCACAGGTTGATTGGTTCAAATCGCTGTTGAAAATTGGTTTCCCTTATTTCATGGGGATTTTCAATAGCCCAAACGTGAGAATTACGTGAATTAATAATTCCGTTTCTAGTAAAGAGGGCTTCATCACTCACTAAAATTTGATTTAAAAAATTGTCATCATTTTGATGTTTATTTAAAAGCCAATTGCAAAAGTCAACCCTTTGTTCATGATCTTCCGGTTGTAAGGCCTGCACTTTTTGTATGTGAAACGGATAGAACTGATTTTCACGTAGAGTTTTCCAAGTTTTATACTGACTAATCGCCAATTGAGTTGAAATTTGTCGGGTGCTTACTGTTGGATCATCACTTACTAATTCTAAAATTTGTTCTTCTAGTTCTATTTGATCGTGTGGTCTTGGAGCACCGGCATGATCTCCTCTGTGAGGTCTTAAGTCACCTGATTCACGAGCTCTTTGCACTACATTAACAAAGGCACGAGGGGTTGGTTGCACTCGATTGGGAAACCGATCCGCATAGATCCGTGATGCCGCGGCAGCATTTTGTAAAGACTCCCCGTAAATAAGAACCATGTCCACAAGTTCAGCATTTTCGTAAACATGTGCCATTTTTGATTTGAGCCTCGCAACAGACACGATTATTCACTTACGCGTTACCGACTACCGACTGATACTGACTGTATACAACTGAAGAAAATAATTGTAAAAAGATCGTTCCAAATTCTTTCGCTTCTTTGTTTCCGATGCGATGAACGGATAAGGCGGATTATATCTGTTGTTGCCAAACACGAGAACATAATATCATTATTGAGACAGGGCGGTACTCAAACTTCCAAAGGGCTATAACTTTGTTACTTTAATTTTACCAGAAAAATGGTAAAGGAAAAAAACATTTCTTTTGATCAGATCTACTCACTGTTAAAATAAATGACTCAACTTCGAAGTCACCCTGTATATGTTATGTATATGTATGTACTTTGAAGTACAAATCATACATAGTTTATGTATGTCGAATTTAGTAAATTAAATAACAATAGAGAGCTTACGTTTTATTATAAAATGAAGCATGAATGCACTTACATATGCACCAAAATAATCAAGAATTATTAATCAAAATCATTAATGAATTTATCAAATTATGAAGCTTGGAAATATTCATCAATTTTTTTTGAGGTTGTTATAACGCGAGATCAGTGCTTTGTCCCTCGGTCTTCTCAAAAGTAAAAGTTCGTTGTAGGATGTACCATTCTCTTCAGCCCGTTGTAAACCTAGCTCAAAGGCGTTAATTACGTCATGTGCTGTGACTTGTGGAGCAGTTGCAATCACGTCGTCGTTATTTTCCTGATTGTTTGTTGTATAATTAGAAACCTCTTTTATAATCTCTTCGTCAGACATTTCATGAAAAACATTTTCCTCTTTATCCATTCCACGGCACCAGATTTCCAAATCTTCCGGACTTATCTGTTTTTCAGTAGCGACTTGTTCTATAACTTCCGAAGTAACACTGATTTGTGGAACGTTGCTAGGAGTGGTGACTATATCTGGCCATAACTTTTTCCAAGACGATTTAATAGTTAATGACGGTAACGCATTCCACGACTGACAAAGAGCAAAAACCAAGTCTTTCATATTAAATTCTTTTAAAATTTTTTCTATTGGTTGGTCTTTTGATACGGCTCTCAGAAGTAGGTTTTTCTTATAGTCTTGCTTGACAAACTGAATGACATTCTGGTCCATTGGTTGAATCAGTGCAGTGCAATTTGGCGGAAGAAACATCGCAGTGATGCATTTATCCTCAGTTGTTAGTTCTTCTTCAGACGGATGACCGGGAGCGTTATCAAGAAGCAACAACGCTTTTTAGGGAAAATTATGATCTTTTAACCATTTTCTAACTCCAGGTATGAAGCATTCTTCAAACCGCTTTTTGAAAAGGTCTTTTGTCATCCATGCACTTTTTTGTCCGTAATAGTATGTGTATCAATGTTTTTGAATGCCCGTGGTTTATTATATTTCCCAATGACCATCATCTTAAGCGCGTGTGTGCCCGCAGCGTTAGCACATGGTAGTATTGTTACACGCTCTTTACTTACTTTTCGTCCAGGTATGGATTTTTCGTTACAAGAAACGAAAGTTTTGTTAGGCATCACATGCCAAAAAAGCCCTGATTCGTCTGCATTGTACACCTGTGACGGGTCAAGATTTAAATCGTTCACCTTTTGCAAAAATCTTAACTTAAAGGGCTCTATGCAGGTGGCATCGTTAGAAAGTTGCTCTCCTGTAATAGTCATTAAACGTATGCCATGACGACTTTTAAAACGTTACGGCCATCCTTTGCTGGCCACAAAATCATCTTTTTTTGTTATTTCCTTATAAAAACTTAGCTTTCATGGCCAACATGGGTCCTGAAATTGGTGCATGCCTATTTCTTTCCTGTATCCACATGTACAAAGCTTCTTCCACTTCTGGATGTTCAGCTTTCTTGAGTGTCAGTAGTTGATCTTCTCGTGGTTTCTTTTAATGTCATAAATTGTAGATCGGCCTACGCCGTATTCACTTGCTAAACTACTGAAAGTTTCATTGCGATTTAAGCGGTCAAAAATATCACATTTTTCTTTAATTGTCAACGTTTTGTGCTTTCGCTTCTGAGTTTGTGATGACATTACTAGGTACTATACTTAATACTCAATGAATAAATAGTAAACAATGAACGCACGCTAGGCCGTACCGCTATCAC